GGTGGGGGGGGTCACCGGTGGCCGTTAGCAGCAGGGCTTGGTTCCGAGCATTGTAATTATCGCGGCTGGCGTCTTCGGCATCTGCTTTGCAAGTCGTATTTTTTGAAGTCGTCCAATTTGTGTCACGCCAGGCAGCTCGCTCGACTTGAGACAAATCTCCGTCTGCGATGGAGCTGCCGCTGCCCGCTCGGACAAGCGTTCGCACATGCGGCGCCTTTCCCGTCTCATGTATCATTCACGAGGCTCGCTCTGACTTGAGTCACTGGCGACCCCGCAAGCCTCGCCCAAATAAACAGGCCGACGAGCAAACACAATGAATTACTCATGATTCATTAGCAATTAATGGCGCCTCGTTCTGCCCCTTCATTTCCAATTAAGGAGCGCCGAGGGGACTAAAATGTGTCTCTTTCTTCCCCGCGCCGCCAGGGCAGCACCGCTCGCTCGGCCCCAGCATCTCCAAAGTGCGCAGCCTGAAGCTGGACAGCAGCATCTGGAGCAACGAGCTCGTGGAGGTACGCCGTCTCGGCAAACTCAGGCCGCGCCCGCAAAGAGTCAGCGCTTTGGCTTTCAAGATCGGGGCAAAGCGCAGCTGTCAAAGGACGCGTCACATACAACCGTGTTACGTGAAGAGCGTTGCTTTTTCTTTGTAGCTATCGGCTGGAAAAAGGCTGAAAGCCAGTCACAGGAGGTCAAACGCGCGTTCCGATTTCCAGGTGAATTTCAAATTCATCGAGCTGAGCGGAATCCAAAATCGTTACTGTTCAGGAGACCCCGAAAACATGATTCGACCGTACACTGACCCCAAGTATAGAGTTGTGAAAAATAAATTATGAAATTGAGCTAATCGTGACAAAGGAGGTGTCGGCCCAATGACAGCAATGTGTCATTTTATTTTGGGGGGGGGGCCCTTTGGAAACTTGACACGGTTGCCATCGTTTTGTTCAATAACATTTCTATTCCTGTCGAAGCTTGCATAATCGTCAAAAATGCCCCATAATTGTTCTCCGTCAAACTCCATGAACTCAATTGAACTCAACTCGAAACAACCACCCAAGACAGTAGAACGTGCAAAAACACTCAAAATCAAGTCTCAAGCTGAGTTAAAAGCCAAAGAAGAAAAATGAGTTTGAAGACGAGTTTGAAAGATGGGCGGCGAGGGCGCTTGTCGAACATTCATTCCAAAGAGAGGAGACGGAAAAGCCTTGATCCCCTCTGAGCCTCCGCTTAGTACTCTGTACATCTAACAGTGTCTGGTCCACAGACTTGAGCCGCCAGTAGGGAGCTCAGAGAGGTCAGGTGGGGCCAGCCCGTTTCGAGATTGGAAAACAAAACAAAAGAACTCTAAAAAAAAAGGGCCCGGTGAAGGGATGCCAGAATAGGAATAATTAATGCGCTCCCTCTCACGAGTCCCGGTCAAGAGGTGACCAGCAGCATTTTGGACCAACTGGAGACACTTCAAGTATTTTTTTTGAGGTGGGACTTGATGTAAAAAGTCTGAGAACCATGACCTGATTTGAAATGCTGTGGACCATAGACACCAATGCCTTTTGACTGGGGCTAATTTCCAAGCAAATCCAAAGCATTTTGACAATCTCGTTCTTTGTGACGTTCCTCATCCGTTCAGCTCTTCTTAGAAGTGGGGAACCAGAAGGCCAACAGTTTCTGGGCCGCCCAACTCCCGCTGGAGGAAGAGCTCCATGCCGGCGCTTCGGACGAGCAGCGCGCCACCTTCACCCGCAGAAAGTACCGGGAGAGGAAGTACTGCCGCGTCCTCGAGGGCCTTCACAACTCGGAGCAGCTCAACAAGGTAACGTCCTTTCCTGATTCGCAAGGGCGGTGAACCTTCGCTTGACTTTGGGGGTGCATCAAATCGAATCGATCAGAATGTACTTGTATGTCCTGCGTGTGTGTATACAGTGGTACCTCTACTTACGAACATCTCTTCATATGAAATGATCAAGTTACGAAACGTCTCAACTGGAAAATATTGCCTCTAGTTACGAAAGAAATTTCGAGTTACGAAAAGTAAAAATACAGTATGGGGTGCGAGTCGCAGCTCCGAGTTTCCTGAACGCAACATACTCATAGCTGCTCTGCCATTGGCTATTACCGAGCATCATCCTGGCATCCCATTGGCTATGAGGGACTTCTTCCATATTTTTTTGTGTGTGTCGATAGATAGCTCGCTGTCGATGCAGCGTCCTCGTCATTCGCCCTCGGGCCATGAGGCGTTCCAATAATTCGACGTAAATGTGAATCACCCAGAAAAAGTGCTCACCAGTCAGGTGATCGCTCACTATGCTGACGTTTGCCTTGGACATTTTCGAAGGATTGTTAAAAGCCGTCAAAAGCAAACGTCCTTGGATCGGTTTGTAACAAAACGCCAGGCAAAAACCACTTCTACTGTTCAGGAGACCCCGAAAACATGATTCGACCGTACACTGACCCCAAGTATAGAGTTGTGAAAAATAAATTATGAAATTGAGCTAATCGTGACAAAGGAGGTGTCGGCCCAATGACAGCAATGTGTCATTTTATTTTGGGGGGGGGGCCCTTTGGAAACTTGACACGGTTGCCATCGTTTTGTTCAATAACATTTCTATTCCTGTCGAAGCTTGCATAATCGTCAATAATGCCCCATAATTGTTCTCCGTCAAACTCCATGAACTCAATTGAACTCAACTCAAAACAACCACCCAAGACAGTAGAACGTGCAAAAACACTCAAAATCAAGTCTCAAGCTGAGTTAAAAGCCAAAGAAGAAAAATGAGTTTGAAGACGAGTTTGAAAGATGGGCGGCGAGGGCGCTTGTCGAACATTCATTCCAAAGAGAGGAGACGGAAAAGCCTTGATCCCCTCTGAGCCTCCGCTTAGTACTCTGTACCTCAAACTGTGTCCGGTCCACAGACTTGAGCCGCCAGTAGGGAGCTCAGAGAGGTCAGGTGGGGCCAGCCCGTTTCGAGATTGGAAAACAAAACAAAAGAACTCTAAAAAAAAAGGGCCCGGTGAAGGGATGCCAGAATAGGAATAATTAATGCGCTCCCTCTCACGAGTCCCGGTCAAGAGGTGACCAGCAGCATTTTGGACCAACTGGAGACACTTCAAGTATTTTTTTTGAGGTGGGACTTGATGTAAAAAGTCTGAGAACCATGACCTGATTTGAAATGCTGTGGACCATAGACACCAATGCCTTTTGACTGGGGCTGATTTCCAAGCAAATCCAAAGCATTTTGACAATCTCGTTCTTTGTGACGTTCCTCATCCGTTCAGCTCTTCTTAGAAGTGGGGAACCAGAAGGCCAACAGTTTCTGGGCCGCCCAACTCCCGCTGGAGGAAGAGCTCCATGCCGGCGCTTCGGACGAGCAGCGCGCCACCTTCACCCGCAGAAAGTACCGGGAGAGGAAGTACTGCCGCGTCCTCGAGGGCCTTCACAACTCGGAGCAGCTCAACAAGGTAACGTCCTTTCCTGATTCGCAAGGGCGGTGAACCTTCGCTTGACTTTGGGGGTGCATCAAATCGAATCGATCAGAATGTACTTGTATGTCCTGCGTGTGTGTATACAGTGGTACCTCTACTTACGAACATCTCTTCATATGAAATGATCAAGTTACGAAACGTCTCAACTGGAAAATATTGCCTCTAGTTACGAAAGAAATTTCGAGTTACGAAAAGTAAAAATACAGTATGGGGTGCGAGTCGCAGCTCCGAGTTTCCTGAACGCAACATACTCATAGCTGCTCTGCCATTGGCTATTACCGAGCATCATCCTGGCATCCCATTGGCTATGAGGGACTTCTTCCATATTTTTTTGTGTGTGTCGATAGATAGCTCGCTGTCGATGCAGCGTCCTCGTCATTCGCCCTCGGGCCATGAGGCGTTCCAATAATTCGACGTAAATGTGAATCACCCAGAAAAAGTGCTCACCAGTCAGGTGATCGCTCACTATGCTGACGTTTGCCTTGGACATTTTCGAAGGATTGTTAAAAGCCGTCAAAAGCAAACGTCCTTGGATCGGTTTGTAACAAAACGCCAGGCAAAAACCACTTCTGAGAGAGAACATGAACTGAAGAGGGCAAAAAAACGGCGAGGACGCAGTTAAAAGTTAAATGACCAGCATTTTTATTCTTTCCTCTAATGTTTTTTTACATTGTGCACAACTCTCATTTATGGTGCAATAATCTAATTGTAACATGTATTTGTTGCATATTTTAATGCATTTTTATGCTTTAGGAAACATATATGTCGGAATTTTGGGGGGGCTTGGAACGGATTAGGGCATTTACATGGAAAACGCGTCTCGGCTGACCAAATTTTCTAGTTAAGACATTTCTTCCAGAACCAATTAATTTCGTCAGTAGAGGTACCGCTGTATTCATATATATAAAATATATATGCATAAGATAAGATAAGATAAGAAAACCTTTGTTCGTCTCACAATAGAGAAATTCCCAATTTACAGCAGCAAAGTGATGAAAGGAAGAAAGTATATGTGTATGTATAGATATATGTACTGTATGTCTTGGCAATGTCGTTCATATTGTTGAAACGTCTTGCATCACACCCTCTTGTCGTGAGTCAGAGCATTGCGGATTGAGTCGTACTCCCACTGAACCGTATCGAGTCGCTCCACTTTCAAACGAACCGTCCTTGAATTTTGTCGCAGCCCATGTCTCGAGTGACGCATCTCCTAATCGAGTTCCAATCCTAAATCTTCCCAGTCTCAATCTGCCCACACACTTTCATTACAAAGTGACCACAAAAAAAGAAGGAAAAAAAACTTGTCTGAGATAAAAGAACCCACAAATTCAACCGCAAAGATTCCCCAGAGGCGCAAACGGGTGCGTTTGATACGAGCGGTTTTAGCCATGTTCTGTATCAATTTGGGGAATCAGTGACTCATCCACCGGCAAATGTCACTGTTTATTGTAAATCGTTTGCGAAAGAAGGCTTTGACCGTCAGGTAACTGCCCTTGACAGATTTGGACGATATTAACTCGCCTCCAGCGCTTGAAAATCGCCCCAAAGGATCACAGTGAATGTCGATCAGTCACAAGCAATGTATGTAAAATCTAAATCTCAGCGTAAGCGTTGCCAGCCAAGCTAATTTGCCGGGACAACTCTTCTTCGTCGTGCATCATATCTATTTAGCGCTCCACGGAAGCCTCCTCCTTGGGGAAGCGTGTCGAGTACAAAGACTCCACCAAAGACTCGGGCGCATCCGCGGGGTCGGCTTGGACGGTGGGTGATTCTTTCGAGTGTCACTTTAGAATAAAAATAAACGGAGGCGATTTAGGTTTGATTGCATGCGCCTGCCTCCTTCATCTACGGCGGCGATTCGCAAACTTTTTACATCAAGTATCACCCCAAGGCCTTCCGTCATAATTGAAATACTGCGGCGTAAAACCGTTACAAATACAATTCAATACAACCGAACTGTTTGTAAAAACGGGATTTTAAAAAAGTCGATGCTCCTGTAAGCTGATGCGCCGTTTGAGCAGTGAATCCGGTCATTCTTTCTCGCACCACTAGGGGCACATGACAGGGCGTCTACTAGCTTAGCATTGAAGGCGAAACACCATCGATCGGCTATTGAAAATTTGCATTGACGTTCAGAAAATCGGAAAGAATTGCAGCTGGAACACACGTGGAGCAACGACGACGTCTTCTTCCTTCTTTTTCGCCTTCTATTGCATTGCGGGCCTTCCAGCGGACCTCGGTGCTGCCCAGTTTGCTGTGGCACAATGTGGTACTACACTGAAGGCGCCCAATTTCAATCTGGACTTGTCTCCATACTGTAAAAACCTATACAAGAAAACGGTTGCTCAAAAATCTGTGGCATCACGAGCGATTAATTGCCCGGCCCTTTCAGGCATTCTTACCGCTGATAAAATTCAGTCCCGTGCGAAGTCTTTTGTTGTGACATTTCAGTGTCAGACTCGTGGTTTTGGCCGCTTCCTCTGCGATTCCCACGGTCCCCATTAGAAGCTCATATGACGGTGACCTCCGCCGAGTCTCGGCGGGCTGCGCGATCTGGAGAATGTCAAAGGACCGTTCCTGATATTTTGACGCGCGCACACAAGTCCCAGCAGTGACTGCAGTAATTGCGCCGACACGCAAGGTCGCGGTCCAGAGCTGCTACGGAACGAAGCCGGTGCCAGCGTCAGATGCGCCATCTGAGCCTTGAGGTGTTTTGTGACCGCACCCGTGCAAAAAGGCCTCACTTTCACGCACGGCGATACCTTGACTTTTGGGGATACCAACACCCCCATTTGTTCAAATTTTTGCGCCGTGTAAGCAACAATTTATTCGGTGCCGCTCTAGACAGACCCTCCACTACGAAATGGTGGCAGCACAAATCAAGCTGAACGACACGTAACTTGGCCTTACGAAGGTCCCCTGCTTAATGCTAGCATACATTGCAAAAGGCTATTGAGAGGTTCGCGGAACAAGCGTTGATGTCGCGGAAGTTAGACAGCGGACTCCCATTTGCGGGGATAGGCACGGGGTCAAAATCCACGTCTCATTAGACGGACAATTAATCGACCGTGCATGTTTTTGGACGGTGGGGGTGAGAACCGGAGTACCCGGAGAAAACCCGCACAGACACGGGCACAACATGCCGAGTCCACGCAGGAAGGCCGTGGCCAGGAAACGTGTGCGCCGCGGGGCGGACGTGCTCACAAAGTCGTCCACCGAGCCGCCCAAGTAAACGGTGCTTCCTATTCATTCGCGGCTCATCCGCTGATATCATTTTTCAAAATCATTCAGTCCTAACTTTAGGTGGCCTTTTGCGAGTTCTTTGTCATTGTTGCAGGTGTTTTATCAATAAGCGCTTTGTACGCAGCCTCAGCGATCGATGGCGCTTCGACTCGGGGGCAACTCGGACGAAAGGGAAAAGGTCGCTCGTTGAAATTCCGCGCGTCCGCCGGTGGATCCACTTTGTCGCGGGTCACCGTCTACAATGTCACATCAATGGAGCGGATTGATGGGAAGAGACAGATGAGGCGGCGGGGAGGGAGAGGGTGGGGGGCGGGGGGTGGGGTGGATGTTTTCCTTGCTCACAGCGCATTCTTGGCTGGCTTTTATCCCGGTCGCCGTGACGGATGAACCCTTTTCTCGAGCGCTTTGTGTTGACAAAAGTTTGTCTACCTGGAAAAACAATTACGTGAGACAAAAGAATGTTTTTTTTTTTTTTCTTTCGTCCGAGCCCCTCAAGCGCAGCGTAGTTCAACGTCTGCGGGTGGAAAATGGCAGAGAACACAGTTCCCCAAAGTATTTGCACTCTTTCCTCACTTGGTTACGGCCTTCATCGAAATTGAGAATGAACTGTTACTCACGGCCGCAGCGCACGGACACCTCACCCAATCCAAAAAGTCCATTTGTAGCTTCACTCTTGCCGTTACTCCACCTGCGGTCCCACCCTCGCTCTTTGAAGTCGCTTCGTTATATTTAATGCGGCCCATTTGTCCTGCTCGCCGTCATTATATTCCCTGCTCCTTATTTTCCCCCAAAAAGATTAGCCATTTAATGACTCGCGCAGGAAGTATTAAATTGTGATCTTATTTTAACTTCTCTTGTGAGATCAGCGAGCAGAACTTCATCCTAAACTTTTATGCGCTGGCATTTTATGGGAGCTTTGTCCTCGGTCATCCTGGCGCAAAGGCGCGCTTTAAATCCGGATCCTCAAATGAGATGCAATGGAGAGAAAAAGTCTACACACCCCCTCAGATCAATTGTTTCAAGAACACGTTCCCCCACGTTTTAGAGAGATTTTGTGAGTGTACAGTAAAATCAAGGTTGAGCTTTTCGGCCAGAAGAGCAACAAGTGAAGAACCGGGGCCTTAGTCTTGTTTCCAAATAGCAGTCAGTGTTAGCGCAAAATCTTCAGGCTTCCGCCAGAACCCCCCCCCCCCCAAAAAAATGTCAGGAAAAACCTACGAGAGCAGCTGAACTTGATTTGGGGTTGAGGAAATGCACTTGAAATGGTAGGAGGCGTGTGCTGAGTTTGAATGGTTGATTCTGAACACAGCCACCTTCAAGGGGGTGCACACTTGTGCAACCACATTATCTCTTGTTTACTTTTGCTCCTATTGAAAAAATGATTGATTAAAAGCCAATCTGGGATTTTTTTCCCCCAGCCTGTTCAAAGAATGAATTGACTTCTGAAAATGATTTCGGCACACTTTTATGACTTGATCCCAAAGTCACAAGTCGACGTGCGTGAATTCGTTTTGCGACCACAAATCCACAGAGGATGAGAGCATGAATTTGATTTGTGTCCCCTCCACCCCCAAAAAAGTGTATTATCCATCCATCTATCCATTTTCTGAACCAATTGATCCTCACAAGAGTCGCGGGGGGTTGTCGAAACCTATCCCAGCTGTCTTCGGGCACTAGGCAGGGGACACCCTGAACCGGTTGCCAGCCCATCGCAGGGCACACACAGAAAAACAACCATCCGCGCTCACACTCACACCTGGGGCCAATTTAGAGTGTTCAATCAGCCTGGCATGCATGTTTTTGGAATGTGGGAGGAAACCGGAGGACCCGGAGAAAACCCACGCGGGCCCGGGGAGAACATGCAAATTCCACACAGGGAGGCCGGAGCTGGAATTGAACCCGGTACCTCTGCACTGTGAGGTCGACACGCTAGCCACCGGACCGCCGGGTATTATCTTCAGCGTGAATTGTTGTAGCGAGATAAAACGGGCGTCGCTCGGGCAGGAGGTGGATGGATGGAAGAAGTCCACCGGCGTGTCTGTTTTCATGTGCGTCCAGGCGTTGTGTGCCGCCGTGGTGCTGCCTGATGTGCTGCGCACTATGGAGCTGCTGTTCAACGGGGCGGATGTCATGTGCGCCACCGGGGACCCGACCTGCTCCACGCCGTACCTCCTGGCCCAGCGCGCCGGCCAAAGGCTGCAGATGGAGTTCCTGCATCAGAACAGGCTCATGGGTAAATACGCTTGTTGCTTGTCAATGTTCCCTCCAACCAGACAACGGCTTCCACATTTTTGGGCATATGTTGTTTCTATAGAAGTAATTCAATGCAGGAATTCATTTTGCGCATGTTTTCCCCCAAAAATGTTCGACTGTCGTACGCCTGTCATTCCAAATCCCCAAATGAGTAGATCATCTGCCTAACGGTGCAGTAGAGGGCAGCAAAGTTCGTCTCAATGCGTCCCCACTGCATTGCGGTTGATCCGTCCCAACGGGCACTTGTCCATTTGAGCCACCATGCACATTTGGAACACTCTTAATGCCCTTGTCTTTGGAGTCAGCCGTCCTCCATGAAGCATCTCCAGTTGGTCCAGAATGCTGCCGCTCGCCTCTTGGCGGGTACTCGTAGAAAGAGGGAGCAGAGAACTCCTACTCTGGCATCCCTTCACCGGGTCCTTGATTGAAGTTGTTTTGAAGATCCTCTGATTTGTTTTCCAATCTTGAGATGGCCTGGCCCCACCTGACCTCTCAGAGCTCCTGCCTGGTGCCTCGGATCTGCGGACCAGATGCTACTAGAGGTTCCAAGAACTCAGCTCAAAGGAGATGGAGCCTTTTCCGTTCTCTTTGGAATGACCTCCGGCAAGCCCTTTCTGATATTCTTCTCACTTTCTTGAGATTCTCCCCATTCCAACATCCCCCCCACCCCCCCCAAATTTCAAATTTTTGAGCAGACCTTTTACACTGAGATGCTGGAGCCCATCCCGTGCGACTTTGGGCGATAAGCCGGGTGCACACTGACCCGGTGTCGAGCCAAACGCAGGGCACGCACAGACAAACAACCACCATTCACACTCCAGTTCACACCTAATATCATCCAAAATCATTTGCCATTGCACATTTTTTCTCTGTCATTTCACATCATGTCATACAAGTATAAAACCATTGCAAAGCATTCTGTATCTTTCAATAGCATTACATGTCCTTTAATATCATTGCACATTTGTCCCAAATTGTTCTCCGTTATTCCGCCCGTTTTCAGGATCAAGTCAAGGCGAATGGCATTCCACAGCGTTCAAAATCATTCGACGTTCTTCACCAAGATCATTCCAGGTCTTAAAGTATCATTCAATAGCATGACGCACGTCCGTGTTTTTTTTCTTTGTATTCAGTATTTCATCATTCCAATGCACTTTCTCCAGAAATGTCATTTTGGAGTTACATACGAGAGTAGTCGTACAGAATGCAACTGAAGTCAAACAAAGCTTGTCAGGCGGCTCCATGTGGAGTCTCAGCACCTTGCTGTCCCGGCGCTGTAGCTCATTTGTAGTCCAACCCCCCCATGGGCCTCGTTCTCACACCTACACCTGCTCGCCCCGGAGCACCCTGGGATATTGTGCTGTGTTCATTTGCATATCCACATCCTGCTTCAAGGCAAAACGGGGCCGCGTGCTGTCGTGTTTTGAAAGCCGCCGGGGCGGCTTCAATGATGGCGCCATCCCTTATTGTCAAAGGCTCCCTCTGGGCTGCTTCCATGTGTATTTTCGGCTGCTTCTGTTGTTCACTCCCAAACGTTACACGGAAAGAACTGCTCTTTCCCACCCCCCTTTTTTCCACCGGACCTATAGACAAAAAGAAGGTGAGCTCAGGCAAGGTGCACAACGACAATGTTTTACACCGCCGATGCGGCGGATCCATTTTGGCGTGGGACCACGTTGCCGCGCCGTTGTTAATATCAACTGAACGCAACCGTGTTTCTGGAACACTTTCAAACAACCACCGCTGTATACAAAGTGCTGTACATGGGGTGAAAATCATTCATACAACAAACAATCAAACAATACATTTATAACAAATACAGTCGAAAGCACAAAAACAGTCCAACTGAAAATCAAGTCTCATGCTGACTCAAAAACCAAAGACTAAAAATGAGTTTGAAGACGAAAGAACTTCAAAAGAACTTGAAAAAGGGAGCCCGTGAAGGGATGCTAAAGTCGGAGTGACGTGCTCCCTCTTTATACGAGTACTCGTCAAGAGGTGAGCAGCAGCATTCTGGACCTACTGGAGACGCTTGATGGAGGATTGACTGACTCCAAAGTCGAGTGCATTACATAAATCCAGCAGACATTTGTGACAAAGGCATGACTGACTGCATCTCCGAGTGCTCGTAAAAAAGGAGAGGCTTGACATCAGCCAGCTGCCTTGAATGAAAGAAGCTGGATTTGACGACGACACTCATTTCAAATCGCGGTCCAATTTGAGACCCAAGTCCGCAAACACGATGATAACTGTTGACAGACTACATGGCGCTCGGATAGTAAGACAAAAATAATCTATCTGGGAGCGTGCAAAAAAAAAAAAAATGTGGCATCAAAGTCCGCCTTTGGAGTTGTCACTGGGTGAGGGATGACATGACGAGTGAGCGGCTTCCTTTGATGGCAGTGAAACGAGGACATATGGAAAACTGACCGACTTTTAAGTCCGGTCCGCAAGCGCCCCCGTCCAGCCTGTTTTGGATGACTCCCTCCTCCAACGCGGCGTAGGAGCGTGATCAGGCTTCTGAAAAGCTTGCTGATCAGCTGAAGACTTGGATCAGAGACAATCGAAAGCAGGCTGCATCGGGGCCCTGCGGGACCGGACTCGGGCACCCCTGTTTTAGATATGAACATTTATTTGTTTATTTATTTTTGCAGCCAACGTCTACGCTACTGCCACAGTTGTGAGGTTCTCCGGAGACATTAAATATGCATCAAGTTGGACCCTCAAACCCCCATTTACACCAATACTAAGTTTCAAGCCATCATGTGCGCAGCCCTTTTTCTTTTTTTTTTTTTTTTTTTTGTTTTTAAGTGCCGCTGGATGGTTTTATTGGCATCACTCCTGTCGGGGAGTCCTTTTTCCTGAATGTTGCCTTGCATGTTATGATTAGAACTCAGCCTCCCTTACATATGTAGCCAATTATAGCCGCATTTATGACGCGTGCCCCGATTCTTGTGCGCCGTCTTCATGGCCCCGCGGTCCGCCGCTCGCGGGGCCTAGAGCTTTGCGGCGGTTGCCACGGGCGACCAGATGGCTAATTGAGCACTCCATCATGTCACCTTCCCCTCACTGGGGACGCAGCCAATCAGCGGAGGCCAGACTCTTCCACCGACACCCCCACACACATCAGAGTCCCATCGTAAGCGAGGCCAGCTTTAGCGCCCCGCGGGGGCTGTTTGCAAGACTCACGCAGGGAAGCTTGTTACAGCACATACACCGCCTTATTTACATTCCCCGAACATGAATGTTTGGGAAGGACTGCTTGGATTTATGACACGACCATAACCAGATTACCATTTGATACAATCTCCATGGATTTGGGAAATAGGGCTGAATGTTTGTTGACAAATGATTTAAATGCAACCCCCCCCCGCGCTCCCCGCTTTTTGGCGATTGCAACTTCATCCGGCACGTTTTGCCATACTTCATTATCGAGCGCAAGCTGATCATCGGAAGCCGAGAGGCCAGTCCGTTGCAGGGAACATATTGACAAAACCTCATCCCTCCATTTTCTGTAATTCTTGACCGTTCAGTTCTGTGTGTGTGTGTGTGTGTGTGTGTGTGTGTCTGTGTATATGTCCTTGCGGCTCAATAATGAATCACTCACCGAACAGATTTCCCAAGACTTGACCGGCAGTCAGACAACACGTCCTCATCCGGGCCGTCCCCCTTCATGGATGGCTTCCTGTACATCTCGGCGGGCCACGGCAGGACGCCGGCGGATCGGCGCAGAGGAGACGGTGAGTGGTCGCGTGCCGTGTCGCCGGGGTGGCCCGACAAGTCCCATCAATCCCTGGGCCAGGCCCCGATGAAGTGCGCGCGTTAGGCAGGGGTCCGCTCCAGTTACCGTATTTTCACAACCATTCGGCGCACCGTATTGTTGGGCGCAGTCTCACTAACGGGTGCTATTTTGGTATTTTACACATAGACATAACGCACTGTATTATTGGGCGCAGTTTTACAGTGGTAAAACATACGCCAGCTAAAACATACGGCATGCGCTGCGTGCACGCACGCTAAAAACACGTTAGCTTGAAGCATACGGTAGCATGCTAAGACATACGGATACACGCTAAAAACACGTTTTTAAAAAGGCAACGGAAGCAAAACTGAGTTCGGTTGCATTTTATTTAGCCAGCTTACAAT